GCCCCCATTAAAAATATTCTTTTTTTCCCTTTTTTTTTTTTTTTTTTTGCTATGCTGATTTGAAGTCCATTTTCTTTCAGTTGTTAATTCAAAAACTATTTTGGTTAAAACACAGTTGTCCAGTGAAAAGGGGCATTCAGGGATATAATTTGTGCAAGTCAGTCATTTATACAAAGGACAAATAGTCCCTGGTTTTGTCCAGCTCAGCAGTTCCAGAGTCATTGATGGTTTAACTTTGATCACACAGACAATACTGTTTGTTTTATTTTTTATTTTTGTTAATAATTACCTCCTTGAGCACTGAAAATAATGTTTAAATGCTTGTGAAAAATTAACTGTAAGTACAAACTGTACAGTTTGATTCAGCAAATCAGTGTTACTGGAAAAATATGGCAGGGGTTTCAGGTTTTAGAGCCTTTAAATTTGACTTGGACTATGAAAAAAAGACTCGAGATCTAACTCGTGGTCAACCGTCAAACTTTTCTGACTTGATTTGGAATTAGAAAATAATATTTTTGACTCTCTGTGTCTGTTAAACTAGTGCAAGAAACAGTTCTTAACTGACTGTAAAAAACAACAACAAGGGAGGTGTATTTATTTTCTAAAGCCAGAGAGTCAATATTATGTCATCATGTCAACTGAAACACCAGCACTAAACATTTCATCCCTTTGTTATATTCAGGGAGTTACAGTTCTGTGCTGTTTAACACATTTATCAAATAATTTCACTATCCATGCAAACAGCTGCCCTAATTCCACCAGCCTGATTCATAAATGCTGTTTAAAGAAACAGTTTGAATGTTCCTGCAGTCCTAACCGGCTGCTCTTTGATCAGCCTACACATCTAAAAAAAAAAAAAAAACAATTTTATGAACAGATTCTGAGATATTTTAGCTGCAGTCAGCAGTTTTCAGCAGAGATTTATGTGGCACATTGACCCACATAAGACTCCCTGATGGGACAATCTTCAAGTAAACAGCAGAAAAATTAAAGACAGTGAGCTCATTCCAGTGCTAATCCTAGATTTATTTTAGTGTTTTCTGGTTCTGTCTTAAATTGGACAGAACAAAAGCACAAATAACTTAAAAGTTTTCAATATTGCACCTGGTTGTTTGTCTCCAACAGTAAAGAGCAACAGTTTAACAGAGACCAAGCTGATTTTTTGATGGTGCAAACAGCCATAAAAAAATATAGCATAATTTTATGAATTTACAGCTCAGTATGTGTAAATGTGTATAAATAAAAATGTTGGAAAATTCCAGTTGTAATCTAGATTTCTTGATTTTTTTTTAAGCCTGAATTTAATGAGAAGAGGCTCTTTCAATCTCAAGCCACTGGTTTTGGCCCAACTCATTGGTTGTTTTATTGATTTTGGCTTTAGTTTGAATTACCAACTAAAGCCACAGTTTTTCAAATCTAAAAAAAAAAGCGATTTCACTTCTTTTTTGCCAAATTACTCTATTTAAAGAATCTGTCTAATTACAAAAAACTACTGTTAGTGCATACCGTTTTTCTACTCCATGGTCATAAATGACAGGAAAAACTGGTTGAAAAACTAGCAGGAAAACTATGGAATTTCACCTGCAAAATTTCTACAAACAATGACTTTTAACACTGGAAATAATATGATGGAAAACCCCCAGAACTGCAAAAAATAAAACCCTGATGTGAAGTAACGAGGGTGTTAAACCGTCACCTTGAACTGAGGCAGGAGTGGTTTTAATGTGCTGCATGCTAGCTTAATCAATAAGCATACTTTCTAAAACGTGAAGCTGCTTTTTTAAATGCATTTACCTTACAAATCCCTTCACGGTTTATCAACCATGTGCGCTGTGTCCTTGTTATTTCTTCCAACTGTACTTGAGCATAAATCAGACAAGGTTTGAAAACCACACACGGTAATTCCCAACAATGTGCAGATTAAACCAAACCAAAGAACAATTTAATTTGAATTTTAAACTATTAAATGGATGGGTTCAGGATTCATTACTCTGTGTTGTTTTATTTATTGCGTGCTCATAATGTAATCTGCTCTAAAAAAAAAATCTCCAAAGTCATTTCCTAACCCAACGCATTACCCTAATGCAACCTCATGCCTTATTCCAATCACCACTACAAACCCAAGTTTTAATCCTTAAATAAACTCTTAAGGAAGCAAAGAAACACTCTCATTCTGGAGGATTTTTCTAATCTATGTTTAAGTGTTGGGCGCTCCTTACTGAATACACACAGAAGTACACACATGCACATAGGTACAGTCACTGCACAATGGACGTCTGCTCAATTCAGACATGTGACTTTGAAGCAATTCATCACAGCAGGTATGATTGAGAATGAGTCATACTGCAGAGGAAATAGCCTACAGGTAATGTAGCTCTAAATGGCCCAATAAAACACTTAAGATTTCTTTGTCTCCATCTTCAATCTGCCTCTTGCTCCTCCCAATTTTAAATCATTTTTGTGATATTTTCCCTTTGGCTCCAATTTCAGTAAACTGCCATCCTGGATTAAAGCTTTTGTGCCACGAGTTTTCTATGTGACAGAAAAGGCGTGGAACTTCTACCCCTACACCATCACAGGTGAGCATTTCTGACCGAAAGAGACACAGACAGACACGCCACAAGTTAAGGTGTGATAAAACTGTCTGTTCACAGACTGTTGTATTACATCATATTAACGGAAAGTTGAGTGGAAGGAGGACAGGTGGAGGTTTCCACAGTGTGGTCATTTGGAGTGCCATGTCATCTGGTGGTGATGGTCCACTGTGTTTTATCAAGATAGCATGCCTGTCGCAATAATCGATAAAGCAGTTAATCGCATAATAAATAAAAATAAAAAAACGCAATAATTTCCATAGGTATTATTTATCGTATATATGTTTTTTTTTCCTCTCTTTCTACCAAAAACTGGATGATAAAAGTCAGTTTTGTGCTTTGGTCTCACCTAAAGTGAAGGACAACTTTGTTTACAAAGGCTTCAAAATTCATGTTATTTGTGGTTTTGTTTATTTATTTTGTATATTTAAATGTCTTCCAGTTCCAGTGTTAAATGTTCATTAGAATTTAAAGTTTACTGATGTTTTAGGATGTTTTCTTGCATTATTATTTTTGCCACTACCATTATATAACTTAAAAATGGTCTCGAAACAACAATATTGCAATAACTTCTGGAATAATTTGTCGTCCAGCAAAATTTATTATTGTAACAGGCAAATCTCTAGCATTGCTTTTTAGAGTTCTTAATGTTTCCAACTCCTGACAAGATTTATGGAAGAAGTGATTTAATTCTCCAGTTCAATGACTATGGTGCTAATTTTCTTTATTGTCCTGCAAACTGGCCTGACATAAACCCCATAAAGTGGAGTCTTGACAAGAGAAAGATTAGATCCAACAATACGAAGAAGTTAAAGGTCTTTCTTAATACCTCAGCAGAGGTAAAGCCCGATCTCTTCCTTAACATGCTGCATGGATGCACTTATTCATACAAAAGTAGCTCCAATCACTTGGCAATACAGACATACTTTTTAGTACGCTCCCATTTCTGAATTAAAAATCCTGTTTTTTTTATTGATCTTATGTAATATTACAAATTTCTGAGAAGCTGAATTTGTGATTTTCACTGAAATCAATCTGTATGCATTCCTTACACTTATGTGCATTTGACTAATTAATGTTATTTCTCTCTATCTATATTCAATGCTGCCGACGTTGCAGAGTACTCAGTAAGTACTCTCACACGTTATCTACCTATGAACACAATCGAGCTGATCTCTTTTTAGAGGTTAGTGGATTTTCTTGATCGCCTTCCTTCGCTCACTGTATGCTCTCCCATGTTTACCTCGTGTAGGTGTCGTTCGTCCCGAGGTTCAGCATCCGCATTGAGACAAGGTTCGAAAACAACAACGGCAGTAACAACAATGTGAGTACAGGCCTAACGGGGGGAAAGCCAGAAGATGGAGTGATAATAGAAGAGGGGGAAGAGAGGCAGACAAAGGGGGAATGAGAGGAATTGCAATTTTCTCTGCAGCGCCACGAAAACGTTCATCAAATTGATGTGGCCATTACAAGGAAAACAAGCAAAGCACAAAATGTACTATTGGCAGATCTATTAACCAGACGTGCTGTGTGCTGATCATGGCTGCCATGCTGCATTTCGTCCATGGCCAGTGCGCATCAACACACTTGGACAGAAATTTACAAGCAATTGCTGCTCCGCCTGGCCCCTTGTTCCTGCTCTGAGTAATTGATGAAACTAAAAAAAAAAAAAAAAGAGAGAAGACCCAACCTGCTTCAAATTACTTTGGCTTATTGAGAGAAATGTTGTGATTCTTATTTTAAAGCTCTGAAAAAGCTTGAAAATAAACTCCACTTTGATTGTAGCAGCATTATCTAACAATGATAAATGTAGTAAAATCCAACCTTTATTTATTTTTGAGTACATTTATTGAGTGGAGTGGGAAAAAAGTCTGGGTTACAAAATAATTTTCTTTTCCTTAAATCCTTAGTGCCACTATTATTAGCACTCCATGAAGATATCCACCTAAAAATCTAAAAATTACCTGGAGATTTATTTTATTATCTATATTTTACATCTATAAGTCACATTCTCAATTCTTTCCTTTTGCCATCAAGGTACAAATATGCAGAAATCTGTCAAATAGACACTTCAAAATGGTTAAGACAAGAGAACATGTATTGACGTGTGGAAATCTTACAGAAAATTATTTTTTTTAAGTGATGCTCACCAAAACTTGCCCACATCTACAGCCAAAAATAAAAAAGTATAAAATCTTGTGTATGATCTTTACTAAAAGTGCATGTAATCCTGTTACATACTGATATTTGCAGCTCCTCCAGAGATACACTGGCCTCTTAGTTGCACCTTTAATTAACTTTCTCTTCGCCCAGCAAGTGAGTTTAGATGTCTTCGTAGATTTACAGTTGTGCCACTGTGTTTTAATGCCACAGCCGCTCTCATCTCAGCCAATCAGAACCATGAAAATTAATTGGCGCACCTGGATCGGATGCTTTGGAAACTCCAGTCAATTGCATGTCAATGCACCCAGCTTTTTCTGCTTTCCAAGTTGCATTTTCCTTCAAATATTTTAGTTATGTTGAACGGAAAAATCTGCAAATAGGCAGATTTTCTATGAATAATTTTAAGTTCCGCTCCACAAAATATGAGCCACAAAATAGGCAAAGGTCCGTTACAGTGGCTCTTTTATTGATATAAATGAATCTTCACAAAAGGAATTAATGGTGAAGCCTCAACAAAAATTTCCGAGGCAGTTGAAATAGGACATCGTTTGTAGGATTTTGCAGAGTTTTCCCCATGAATTTTTAAATTCAAGGGCACTTCTCTGTTTGCTTGTATGGTATCTTCTGCAATCTTCCCCTGGAAACTTTTTTTCACAGTATCATGCAAACAAAAAAAATACTAAGATTTAAAAGTAATTTATTCAGGTTAACGCTGTCTTTGTGTGTGCGTGTTTTGTTTTGTTTTTTATTTCATTGTTAAGTACCTGTGTGAAGTCAGTTGGAGAAATGTCAGTGAGGAACGCAGAATCTACACAATTAAAAACATATAGTGACGATATGAGAGTTTTGTTACAACAACAGACTGAACGGGGAAACTAAATACCTCCAACTAGAGCAACAGCAGCATTCCATGGAAATGAGCAAGACCTTGGTTCGACACACGAGCACAACATAGTAACAGGAGCGTGGCGGACTGTTATTTCATGTTTTGCTACTTGTTAGAGTTATTAAGTAAACAATCTCAGCACTGCATTTTAAGAGATGTTACACAAGGTCAGGAAACAGATCCTTTTTTTTTTTTTTTTTTTTCTCATCCAAGTTTGCACCACACTTTCTCAAGACAAACTGCATTCTGCTTTCATAACACCTCTGTTTCCCTCGCTTTAATATCCAACATACAGGCTTGTGTTTTCCCTTATCCCCTTCTGTGCTTTTTCTCTCTATCTGTTCTCTCATCTGTTTGCTCCAGTGTGATTTCCTCCAAGGGCCTCGGGGTGGGATATACAGTAGTGAGGGGTGTTATGGTGTGTGACCTCCGTTTTCTACACAGCTACTTATCTACTCTTATCCCCGCTCGGTGCTGAGTGAGTAATGCATGTGTTTATATGTGTGTGAGTGTGTGTGCGTGTTCATGCATCTGCAGTCATTACACTGCGTGACCTCCTCCCATCTGTCTGGATGTAGGTGTTTGGGGACAAGCCAACCCCGGAGGGGGACGTTTGCTTCCTGGACATCCTAACTGACCCCATCCCGGACAAGCACTACAAAAAATCGGAGGTACGTGGGGCAAAATAAAAAACAAACAAACAAAAAAAAAAAGATTATTTTTTTTTTGTTTGGATTACAAATGGCTGTCTGGTTGAAACGACGCGTGTGACGGGTGGGAAATAGCTGAAAATAGACACCAACATCGGTAGCCTACAAGGTACTTGTTAAGCTAAAGTTGCTGTATCGATATTAGCTAGTCATCTTTTAGCTAACATTACCTGCATCCAACAACTTTACTCGACTCAGTCGGTTAGTTTGGAGGGAAAAACTGTGAAAAGTTCTCTGCGTTTTGCTGGTTTGCTGCCGTGATTCTAACACAAACCTACGTAGCTCCGCACAGCAGCAGCAGGTCTCCTTCACCCAGCGCGAGCGTCGTAGAGCTCATGTTGCGTTTAAAGGCGGCTCGGAAAAACAGGTTACAACATGTTAACGGATTAAACAGTTTTAACTGATAAAAATGACAGAGGACACAAATATGGGAAGTGTGGAAGCCTCTACTGTATCAAATTGACATTCTAAGGTAAAAACCCAGCGCATACAGTGTTCATGTTGTTTTATTTTCATCCAGATGGCTTCCGGACCCCGTGCATTGACACGGCAGCCCCCCTAGGGGGCGCGCCCCACAGTTTGGGAACCTCTGGTTTAAAATTACTTGCACTTACATCTTTAATGCTAATTACCCAAAGTTGGTTTTATTTTCTTTGCCCTTTTTGTCATGTTACAACAAATTACAATGCATTTGTAGGAATTTTTATGTGCATTTACTAAAATAATAGAAAACATAAACAGTTTTTTACATTTTTGTAGAAGTAAAAATCTAATCCAAGTGTGGTTTGCATTTGTAGTCAGTCTCCTTTATTCTGACAACTAAGTAAAATCCAACGCAACCAACTGGCTTAATTACAACTTCAATGCAACATAAATAGATGTTCTGTGAAGGCCTCAGTTGTTTTGTTCGAGAACGATAATTAAGCAGCATTATGAAAACCAAAGAATAAAGTTGTAAAGCAGAATTAGACACGTTTGTGGTCTTCGTTTTACAAAACGCAGGAATGTAAATGGATTACTAATACTTTTGCAAGATCTGCAACCAAAGGATAATTAGCTACTGCTAGCTCTAAAATAGCTAAACTAGATTGCTCTTTTACCTTGAGCTACTTGATTGGCTACTCACTCTGCACACATAAGTAAAACCTTTATGCTCTAAAAGCTTTTAGGTGGACACAAATGTTATAATCCATTAAACTCGAATAAAAATTGTGTCTAGCTTTAGGTTTTTCTCCTGAAAAATAAAACAATAATACTCTCCCATAACTCAGCCTCTCTGCCTTCCTTCTCATCGGAGATTTCACACCTCTTTAGTGCCTGCGAGCCCTTAGCAACAAAGGTGAATTCACAGGTTTGTGTGCAAACAACCATGTGGGAAGTGCTTCCAGCACAAATGCGTCCAAACACATACAACCAAAAAAAAAAAAAACATGTCTACAATACACCAGCGCATTATATTAAACAAGATTGTGAGAACATAAAATCCCAACCATCGTCTGGTCGCAGGTGCATAATATGTGGTATCAGTTTTTCCTCCTCAGGGCTGCGTTGAGCAACACCCTGCTTACACCTCCACACAGATATCAGTCATCTGCACACGTGCAGCAGCTCATAAGAACGTCCACAGGCGTCTATAGTTCCCTCTGAGAACACCGCACAGTTGCAAGGTTTCTGCAGATTCAGCGTATAACCCCCAATATCTTCTACCCTGTGCAGGATCTGAGTCTCTGGCGGTCAAATAAAACCAACCGAGGGCCTCTGGAGAAAGGCTGGAGGGACAACCACAGCCCCATTATGTGCTCCTATAAGAGAGTGCAGTGCAGCTTCGAGGTCTACGGCTTCCAGACCAGGACGGAGGATTTCTTGCACAGAGTGAGTCGGAGTTGTATTTCTGCCCACCGCCGATGCAAAGACCCCAGGTTTGAAGACAAAATGACAGTCCTCTTTTGGTGCTGATGGTGTTTTATTATCAGAGTTTGCCTTTTGTGGCATGCTGACACAAATAAATCTTCGCCACATTAATTTCCAGACATTAGCTTAATTACAGGCAAAACGAGGGCGGGCAGTCTCAAATGACCTCTGCACTGCTTCTCGTGTAATTCAATAGAGCTAGCTCTGCTGTTTCGGTTCTCCTCCACAATGAGGGAAAGCAATGAAGCATAAAGTGAAGCTCAAAGTGTTTGTTTATTCGTGTTCATAACCATTTCAGGTTACATTGTTGATGTAGGCTCCAAAACAGCCTATTTCCTCCAATTAATTAAACGAAAAGATGCTCTGACTGTGACAATAACGTGCTGCGTAACAATCTGAACGCTAGTATTTCACATGTGACAAACAGGACAGTAGCAGAATTCACAGCTAAGTATTTTTCGCTCCGATGTTTCTGCTCGATGTGATTTTGTTTCTTTTGTAATTTCAGATTATTAAAGACATTCTTCTGGTCGGCCACAGGGAGGCAGTCGCTTGGGTTGACGAGTGGCACGGTTGGTCAAAAGCACGCTGATGTATTTAGAGTAAAAATTTCCACGGCGCCCAGACATTCAAATTTTACACATTTTGTCACGTTGCCGCCACAAATTTCAAAGTATGGAAAAGCATAGGAAGTATGGCATGCCTTCAAAATAATCCCTCCAACTCAAGACTTTATTTTTCCTCTATTTGATATGGGTTTGTAATTTGACCGGGCCATTCTTACAGCTGAGTATGGCTGGATGTAAATCATTACATTTTAACTCTACCTAGTCTCAAGTCCTTTTCAGTCTCAATCAGATTTCTTATGGGTGTATTTTAACCATATTTATTCTCCAAAAAAAAAAAAAAGCCATATTTGTGGTATGCATGACCAGTAGCAGTACTCTCAATGTTCTTGAATTTTCAATCTATCAGTCATAGGGGTAACACTTTAGATATTAAGTGGTAATGTTGTATCCACTTCCTTCTACACCAGTCAGGCACCGCCTTGTGCCAAATAAAATCCTAATGAATGTATTGCAGTTTCTGGTTGTACAAAATGTGTATTTTCTATGACCCTCTATATGTGTCGTTTCCCTGCAGGGCTCAGCTTGGAGGAGGTGAGGGAGTACGAGAAAACAATGCAAGAGAAGACCAACAGCAAAGTCAAATCCAACCAGAACAACTCAGGTGAGGTTGCTTCACCCGATCTGCACTCCACTGAAACTCCCCCGAGGACTGAAGGTGAGATTGTCCAGCTACATGCGAAAGCAGTGCGGGCAAAGGCAACGACAAGGGGAGGTGATTGCAAGTGTAGGAGCAAAATAAAAACAACAGTGGCTGTGAAACATACATTTGAGATCTGTGGAAATTATTGCTGCATTCAGCAGGAGAGGAAGGAAGAAATATAAGACAAGACTGATTTTCCTTTAGTTCACGTTACGTTTTTATGTAATTTTTTTTTTAGTGGTCCGTTTACCAATACAAACTCCAAAATGGCGTGAATTATTAGCTGTGTAACGCTGACATGCCTGACGAGAGCAGGTTAGTGCCTTTGCAGCGCCCTACAAGTGTCCAGATGGTAGGAGTACATCTGTGGGAGAAAGGCGGAAAGGGAAGAGCAGTTGGGAGGCATTTCACAAAACATGGAGCAGCAAGAAGGGAGTGTGTGAAGAAGAGGACAACAGAAAGACAGATGTAGTGTGTGTGTGTGTGTGTGTGTGTGTGTGTGTGTGTGTGTGTGTGCATGCTTGTGAGTTAGGTTTAAGATAGTTCATGAAGTGATAATGCCGCTGCGTCGCTCTGATAAACAGTGTAATGCAGCCACCTGCTGCACTCCTCTCATCATGAGCCCTCTCAACATAAATAACCAGCCGTTGCAGCACTTAGCTGTAAATGTCAGACCTGGAGGGGGCATGTGTACGGGCATACAGCGGAAATCAGTGTGTGTACGTGCATGTGCTTATGTGTGTGTGGTCACCCTGCCCCCTGCTGGTTCATCTGGTGAACTGCAGGAGCTTGTGGGAGAAATCACAGATAGAATTCCCAATATGGACCGAACCATCTTGAGCCTGCTCTCTCTCTCTCTTGCTCTCTCTCTTCTCTGCGTGTGATGATGAGAGACATCAAGTTGCAACCGAACTGCAGTGATTGCTCAACCTGAAGCAGCTCGCCGCACTGCTATGAACCCCTACAGGCCATAAGCAGCTAAAGCATTCAGTCGGTGTGCACAAAAAAATACTGTAGGTTTCATTTCATTCATCTGCTGTAATAAAAGTAAATGGATGTCATTTACTAGAGAGAATCTAATAAGAAGTTGAGAGCATGAGCTGAATACCAATAGGGGATTAAACTAATGGGAGCCGGAGTGTATGCCACAGATCTTCAGAATACTTTATTCATTAGAAACTCAAACAAGTGAACATAATATTTCCCTTTTTTTTCAGTTTACTCTTCTTTTTTTTCCTATCCGGTTTCAGTTTGCATAGCGAGTATGACATGATATACACTTTTTTTTTGTCAAAACATCTGTCTATCTTTCTCAGGCGCACAGGATTCCTGCGATCGTCCTGCAATCTCCCGCTCCATCTCCGTGACAGACGAGCGTTCCCTGAAGAAGATGGGAGTGCCAACAGTGGACATGTCTGGCAAGTCAGCCTCCTCTGTGCTGCACTGTCCCATTCGCCTCAACTCCACCCCGGAGTGATACCTCTCTGCCCGACGGCAACACAGAAGACAAAGTCTAACTTTGTGTCAATGCCAGCAGCAATGGTTATGTGATGTTATTTGTCAAAATGCACAGAATTTCTGCAGGCATTGTTAAAAAAAATAAATAAATTATGTATATATATATATATATATATATATATATATATATACTGCTCAAAAAAATAAAGGGAACATTTCACTTTAATTTTGTGTGTGGCTCCAAATCCAGGCCTCCATTGGTTAATAAATTTGATTTCCATTGGTGATTTTTGTGTGATTTTGTTGTCAGCACATTCAACTTTGTACATTCAATGAGAATATTTCATTCATTCAGATCTAGGATGTGTTATTTGAGTGTTCCCTTTATTTTTTTGAGCAGTGTATATTTATGGGGTGCAGTTACATAGGTATGGAAAGCTAAAAGTGCTAAAGTCCAATAAATAAAACCTCTTGAAAATATTTATATGTTATGTTCACATTATTAATAAATCATTTGTATTCACATTTATGTTTTCAATAGCAGCTTAAAAAGGACATTATCCAGTGATTTACTTGGGATTCATTCAATGTATTTCTTCAGTGGTTTTAATTCACTTTAAATTTATTCTGTCATTTCACATAGTTTGCATGTTCTCCCAGTGTGTCCAACCATAAAACGTGTAAGTGTGGTTCACTGGTTGCTCTTAGAAGTGGGTGCATGGTTGGTTGAGGACTGGTGACCCACTGACCCCTGGTAGAGGCACCAGACCCTCTGTGACTAAGCAAAAAGGATGGGCTTATTGGACTCTGGCACTTTTAAATCTCCATATATGATATATCAATGCAGCTTTTACTGTCTTTGAAATTCAATTGAAAAATGGCTTGAAAGTAAACTTGAAAGCAGTAAAGTTTTCTTTATTCCCACAAAAAAATGTAAATTAATGTATCTTATCAGGTTGGCTTCTTGGTGGCTGTTGTGATAAAGACTAGCTACTTCCTCAGATCAAATAGTTTTTCAAGAATCAAACTCAGTGTTGGTACAACCGTTATATTAGGACAGATCTAATTCTTTTTTTTTTTAACCAAATCTAAGCTACTTCAGGCTGCAGTTCAAGTTCACTATACAGATAAAAATAGTATTGAGCCCAAATAGTTGAATCATTTCTTTAATATTATCACATTATTGTACGGCAACATTTCTTACTTTCAACTTGAGAGCACTTCTTGTGCATGGCAAAATGTATTTTGCACAAATGCTAAAAAACAAAAGTCTTTTTTCTACACCAAAACAAACAAACAAACAAACAAACAAACTCCAAGTGTCTTTATCAGACTCCAAACATGCATGTCTGCACTTTCCATCAGTTCCTTAGCCTTAGGGGAGCACGCACACCACCTGAAGGGATCTACAATTGTTTCCAGAAAGCAATCTACAGACAAATGCATAAAGAGTTTAATAGGGTAGATCTAATGAGAGCATGGTGGAGAAGGGAGGAGACGCTCAATGCAGTGGATCAGCTTCTCTTCTCCCCCTCAGCCAATCAGGTCACACCAGGTGTATCGACAGAGGGCAGTGAGGTGTGGTGTTGCCCTCCCTCATCGCTTTGGTGGGAGCTGCAAATGGGTCAAGCCACATCTAAGCTACAATTATGGGTCAACGATGTAAACATTTATGATACAATAGTTTTTTTTTTTTTGATGAGTTATTAGGTTAGTAGAATAAGAAACGGTATGATAAAAATAATGTATGCCTGTACAAAACAAATGTCTAGCATGTTTTGAGTTTGATGAACTTTGTGTGAAACAGGTGGAAATGTGCTAATAAATAGCAGCATATAATCAGGTGTGTGGTATTTGGATCAATAAATATTTTTTTTTATTTCTCATAAATGATTGAATTGTGTCATATTTCCACTAGTAAGTAGCGATGTCAGCCATGTTGGATCTGTATTTACACATAAAAATCATAGTGGTATTCACACGCAGCACTTTTTCTATTCACGCTCTTTCAAAAATTCCACATTTTGTGACATTACATCCACCATTTTCAATGCATTTTATACAAACTTCATGAACTAGAACACAAAAGTAGTGGACAAGATAGGGTTTAAATACATTTCTCAGCAAAAAAATAAATAAACATAGGCATGCATACATTTGAAACCAGATAGTTACTGTATTAACGGACATATGATATTTATCGGTGTCTTCTATCAGACCAAATCAATGAGTCGTTTAAATCAGTTAGCGCAACCAAAATAATTTCTAATTTGTAAAACCTATACCAAAAAAAAAAAGAAAAGACTTTGTGAGGCTGAAGTTGGTGAGAGTCATCATCTACGATAAAACAATTTAGCCACTCTTCCAAAAATATATTTCATGCATAACTACAGTTTGTAAATGCACTAACAGACAATTACCTTAAAATTTGGAGATATGTTTTATTCTAACAAAACTAAAATGAAAAGGTTTAAGCATTGTTATTTCCACTATCCTAACTCTGAATAGAAAAGGCAACAAATATTTAACCGCAATCTCAAGACATCAGTCAGGAAGTCAAATCCAAACCACAAAAGGATCTTCCAAATTGGAAAAATAACACCAATTCAAGTACAATGTAGTCAGAAGTAATGCAAACTGTTATGTGAAGCTTGTGAAGGGATAACTAGAATATCTGACCCGAGTCATACAGTCTAAAGGTGCCGTTATCTCATCAACTACTTGTGGAAACAGTTTTGACAGCCTGCAAATTGCAAAAAATAAAAAATAAAATTTGGTAAAAAACAGAAGTAAAGATTGGGAATTGGGCATGAGTGCATGTCTGTCACCACAGCGTCAATTTAAAACTCAAGACGTCTTCATGACAAAAGCCCTAATTGTTACAAAGAGACTAGAAAACTTCCTGTGATTGACAGACGTGGCAGCTCGCTTTGAACAGCATGCTAAATAGCTCTCATTACGGGGCTCATCATTGTTGCTTCTTTTATCCACACAAATCAGGAGCCAGCATGACAGATTGTTGCAAGCTTCCAAACAAAGGGCGCTGCAGACAGGCGTACACATAAAAACACACAAAAAAACATAAGTACATTCGCGCAGCGTCTCCTTTTACAGTAGCAGCGGGAGGTTGATATAAAGGAGCGACTGCTCACCGCAGCCAGGAGTGCTCACAAGTGGTGCAGAGGGGAGCACAACCTGCAGGCTGCACTGCATTAACATTACCTCCTTCCGCCTTACCCCTTTGTCTCTACCATTAAATTTTCTCTCTCATTATTACCACCTCCACCAGTATCCCCGCCGCCCCCCACTCCCGTTTTACTGTCTCTCATTCCTCCTCCTTCATCATTGCACTCTCGTTCTTGAAATCTGCCTTGATCTCCCTTTCTTTCTTTCTTTCCTTCCTCTTTATCCTCATCTGCGCTCCTCATGAGGGTTTCTAAAGAAGATGTACTGTGTTCATTATATGGAAATGTTCCCCCTCCTACAATATCATACATTCTAACCCTGTGGAGCTGGAATCACCCTGCTAGCAGGACTTTATCCATAAAACCCCACAAAATGGGCTGGTGGAGGAAAAAGTTTAACTTCTTCAGAGCTTCATCAGTTAGCAGCATTTTTATTGTGGAGCACATTTAGAGCAGAAACTGGAACTAAACATCATTGGCCATGTAGTGGAAAAATGGTGAGAAAGCAACAGTTTTTTTTTTTTTTTTTCGCCAGATGGCACAAGGACATATGAGGCCCTAGATTTCATTTGGGGGCTTGCGTAGAAGCCCAGGGGAGGGTCATATTTTTCCCCAGTGGCCACATAAGCACTTGTCACTCCCAATACCTGTACAACTGATAATGGGCCTCGTTTAAAAAGAAATCTATTAATCGATTTGAATCAATTTTATTTCTACTGATTGATAAAACCCTTAAGTTGATCCTTTTAAAAACATCTTTTTCCCCATATAGCCATCGTCAATTACACAAGCGGCGTAAAAAGACAGTGTTATGCAAACTTCAAGGCAAATGTCTGAAAATGTTTTGGATTTAATAAAACAGGAAGGAAGCAATGAACTGAACAAGAGGCAAATTATATGCAAGATTTTCTCCGAGGAAATGAAATATTGTGAAAATGCAACAAGCTGGCAGACTGGCTGGTCAGGATTGCTGACTTTTTTTTTTTTTTTAAATCTCTGCTTTTGCCTGGAAAGAAAGGCTGAGAGAATGGATGAATTCATCACCCTTCAACAATAGGCTGAGGGTCGGTTTCTTTGGCTGATGATGGGCTCTCTTAATTGCGCTTAATTGAAGCCAAAAGACGCTGCAGAAGGTGTGTCAATTTTACGGCAGGTTAGTACGTGTGCAGTATGCATCCCGTCTCAGCTAATGTGGTAGAACATGTCAAAAAATCTGTAGCAGCCTCTTTTCATGCCAAATATCTAGAAAGAAGATACAAGAGGGTTTTTTTCCCCCTGTGGCATTTTGTCTTCCTACGCCAATAAAATATAAGGCAGATATGCAACAGTGTGACAGGAGTAAGAAAGGAGAAAGCAAGGGAACGAGGCTATGCGACTGGATGAGAATCATTAATACGGCATGTTCTAAAAACTCTTTTGCAATAATTCAATATGAAAAATCTGCCACGCAGGAGATGTGTTTATCAGCCTGTTTGTAACCCAACAGTGAGAATAAAAGACCAAAAAAGTTAACCTTTAAAAAAGTTGCTTTTTCTTAGGATATTCATACATTTAAAAAAAAAATTTACCTTGTCAAAATAACAATTATCACAGTAAAATAAGTTAGCAGTGGTGAGAATTTAAAACAAAGGCTAAAGTAATCTGAAAATAATTATAGTGCACCTTGGGAAAAACCAGAATAGTGAACGTTAAATAACATCCCGTTAAACACTTGAATAAATTCACATGCAGTACAGCTGAGCGACTGCTCGGGTATGTTTTTTGATCCCTATTTATTTTAGCACACTTGCTGCCTGTCCTGCAAGTAGAAAGTAGCAGCCCCTTTGGAAAATAAGTGGCTAATCAACTAAAGCATGATTAGCTGAAGAAAAAGAGCCAAACTATGAAAGACTAACCCATACATGTGTTATAAAAACTGCACCTAAATCACAGGAACTCTGAGTTCTAACTCTTTTTGGCTGCTTGATTTCGTTCCCATCGTACTCAAACATTTACTGGCATCAGCAGGAATCTCCCGTCTTAACATCAGAGACGGTCAACTTGAGAGAGCGACCAAGCTTTTTGCTGCTTTGATAATTACTTATTAATTTATTTACAACCACTTGCATGTGCATAAAATGTTTTCCTCATTCAAATAGAAGCAGTTTAAATTATTAATTTAGCTTTAAGTTATGAGTATGTGTGCATAGTCTTTAAACTTTGGAGGTTTTCCTTTGTTTACGAGCGGCTGATGTATTTATTAACCTGTCTTTGGCTTCTGCTGCTTATGGACGCACTAAGCAAAGTCAAAGATTGTTTCTGTGTGGGGTTGGGCCTGGTTTTGGAAAAGACAACAATAAAAATGTGTGCTTGTGTGTGGACATAATTTCTAATTCCCCCTTAATGGTATTTTGCTTAACTGCACTGATGAATGAGCTTCTGTTCCAGATCAATACATGCTCTCCATTCACTTGACAGACAGTAATGCAACTGCCTCATTTGTAGGACGAACTGGTGCGTGGCGTGCGTGCGTGCGTGCGTGGCTGTTAGACTGCTCCCCGTTTCCTGCCCCTGCAGTAAGTTTTACTCGGCCTTTAAAATGAGAGGGACCATTAAGTCAGGAGGTTTGAAGTGTCATTAACTTGATCTCTCGGCCCAGATGTCAACATTGATTGGATAAAGGATTACAGGTTGCACACTTGCAGTGCATGTTAATCAAATTAAAGGGCAACTTAGTCAACACAAATATGTACGTTTCAAGTTCCTTGAAAAAAGTACTCGCACCTCATGGGCTTCTTCATTTCAGTACATTTTGTTGCATTATGACCACAAACTTTGATGGATTTTATTGAGATTTTCTGAAAGACACAGATGCAAAATGCTATAAGGAAAATGGTACTTTGCTTTTAAAGTTTCTTAAGTTTATTTTATTACTAGCCAGCTGGAAATTAACACCAGAGTACTAGGCACATTTCATCTGAGATTAATTTATGTTGTACGTTGACCCCGTTTCAAATCATAAACAATGTGAGGCATCCTGACCAGCCGTCTGAGTCACCTCGACTGACTCCTCTCGATGTGGAGGAGCAGCAGCTCTACTCTGAGTCCCCCCTGGATGACCGAGCTTCTCTCCCCGTCTCTAAGGGAGAGCCCAGTCTCCCCGAGGAGAAAACTCATTTCGGCAGCTTGATTTCGTTCTTTAGGTCACGACCAGAAGCTTGTGGCCATAGATGAAGGTAGGAATGTAGCTCGACTGGAGAACTGAGCTCCGTCTTTGGGTTTTTTATTATTCTAAAACCTAAAAGGGGAAGTAAACTGCACTCAATTTTGCCACATTTCACGCTTTTGTAGTGATCCGTTTGGATCCTAAAGGTTTCCGCCCTCTGGGAAAAAAAAAAAAAAAATCAGTGTAAATAAATACCGCTGCAAGGTGCTGTACTCTCATTGTGAACTTGTCCATGAGACTAAACAGTGAGGCCAAGCTGCTTGTGTTCCCTCATTACAGTGTCAGCGATACAGTTTTTAGTCCACTCAACCAGATAAATGACTTTAAATCCACTGTGTCTTACCACTGGGAACACAATTTGTAACCTCTGCCCAGTAATACATTAACTGGACTTTATCTGGGGACAGGCAGAGTGGAAAAATTCATACAGTATCAGAGAGAACTAATTGAACCAATTAACAATGTGAATGTGGATTACTGTGGGCCCGTGAACACACACACTCCCTCCCGAATAAAGTTGGAGACTGCTGCTTTCGTGCGATAATGACTGCCGCTGCCGACGGTTGCTGGTGCAGGGCTCTCAGCTTGGGACACGGCGACGCTCCCCGAGTCGCTCGGCTTTCCGTGCACACTCGTGTTTTCGTTGCAGCGGCAGCTGATCCCAGGGCCGCAGTTCCAGGCTGTAATTAATTGCGTGCGGGTAAAGGATAAGTCAAGGATAAGTGTTAAAGCCGTTCATCGCTTTGTACACGCTTTCACGTCGCGTACAAAAGGCAGCGCTTATTTTTCATATGAGAACGCGTTTGCTGCGGGGGGGGAGAGGAGACAAAAAGGCAAACAAGAACAAACAAGAAGAAATGTAGAAACGTGCAGAAAAGGAAGAGCTTTAGGTTCCTCGCTTCATCAGCAGGCCCATAAAGTCTCCAAATTTTAATTGCCCCGCCACGACTATTAATTACATAACGGCAATTGCAGTCAACATGCCCATATGTCTGTAAATGGCAGGGTATGGATTAGAATAGTAAGTGGAATCCATTGCAATACAATAGATTTTATTGATCTACAAAGGTTGAATTACATTCCCCTGAAGGATGTGCAATCAAACAGCGGCATTATTTTTCTTGTGAGCTCCAGAGAACGGCATTAAATAGATGGCTGCAGGAATAATGCCCCGTCTTATTGTAAAGAAGCTTCATTAGACAACATTACTATAAAGCCAAACACACGTCAGAGGCTGTGAGGACAAAGCACCACATTATCGTAAAACAAAAGATGCCTCACAGGCTGCACGAACAGCACACCATTGTTCCACGGCTCATATGCTGTCCCTGCGACGGCCAACAATATGTGGCAGAGTCAAGCCAGTTTTTAAGATCAATAGCCAGCACGCATATATATATATATATATATATATATATATATATTGTATTTTTCATATTTGTGGGAGTTTCTGTCCCAGGCAACACAAACACCCAATAAAAATCACGTTTTGTTTGCTTCAGCTGGAGAGCAGGATCTGTTCACTGATCCTAACCCGGAGCTAACTTGGCTGTTTGTTTCTCTTTGAGCCTGGAGAAACGTTCAGAGTGGATATCATCTAAAAGCTT